TATTTTGTTTTGCTTCTCAAACAGCACTGAATTCTTCATTGACTTTGTTTATATAACCTTTTGTCAAACTTATGGCTGCCACTTTCTAATAAACTCTGATGAGTTATATTGATACTTCAACTTTATTCCAAAGAAGACGATGTTTTTACCTTTTCTTTTCAAATAACTTTGCCAATGATACACACTGTGGTATCATTCTTGATTAAGGTTCTTGTTTATTTTGTCTTTATTATATTCCCCACTACAACTGATTAGTTACAAGGAGGAGGCCCATTTTTTTTTTTTTTTTTTTTTTTTATGAAGACACTCCATCATGGTTTCATATACAAAAAAATAATCTTGTAAATTTGTATTGGTTACGAACTATAGTTTTCTGCCCAAAGGAAAAATTTGAGATTGTTGTATGTTTCAATGATAAAAGATGAATAGTTCTTAAGCATTTCTATAAAACACAAAGTTGTGCACCAAAGAATGAACTAAACTCCTTTCATGAAAACTAAAAGAATGTTGGGAAATCTCTTTTGCCATTCAGATGTCGATATTCTTCATACTGTTAAAGACTTTTTTTTACTAATCCTCACGCAAAACTCTAGAGCCGCTCAAGGTAGGGGATTAATGAAGGACGTTGTTGTATAAGTGGTAACAGTAAGAAGTAAGAAGTGCAATTTATGCAGCTATGTGGGAAAGATAATAGTTAACCCTAGATTTAAAGAGGTGAAGTTTGTAGTAGTTGGGAAAGCATCCTCTCAGGAGTCTAGTCCACAAAGTAGTAATTTGTGGATACAAGCTTTCCAAGGGGTTACTTTCTTTTTGCTAATGGACTACAAAAGGAATTGGCAAATCCATCACCCACTTATGTATATGGTCTGGCAGGTCTTAGATGTAAAGGTCTGAACTGGTGGAACTAGGGAATGTAGCTCGTCTGAACACTTGCCATGGAAATAGATGTGGAGTAGCAAGAAGCCTTGCAATGCTATGTCTGTGGGAATGAGTTGTAAGGTGGAAAATAATTCACAACCCACAATGTTGCATGGACACTTGAATTCTGTCAAGATTGGAAAGTGAGGACTGGACATCTCCAGCCTACATAGAGCAGTATTATTCCATTTTTGGTCTAGTCTGATTCTCATAAAGATCAGAGCATATTAGAAGGAGTCTGATACTTACTAGAGGGATTCAAGGAACCAACCATTTTTCATGGATCTTTAGCCAAGGAGTGGCACTTGAAGTTTGGACTTTTTCATAATTTGTGTTCAATGTTGAATCTATTTTGTAGAATTTCTTGGTAGCCACTATGTTTTAAGTTAATTCAAATCAGAATTTATTTATGTCAATGTAAACTGATTTTGTTTATTTTGAATTGTTCTTTTTTACTTATTTATTACATAAAAGGCAATTATTTAATTAAAATTTGTTTTGATATGAAACTGAAGATATGAAAGAACTTTGAGAGATCCATGACAGGAGAAACTTTGCTTGAAAAGCATGAAATTGCTTTCGCCTGATTGTCTGTTCGTTGCTAAGTGATAAGGTGCACTGGACTAAACAGTTGTTTAATTCCTGCTGAAGTGTGCAAATTTTTGTTTAATAAGATTTCTCAAACATTCATGCTGGTAGGTGAAAGTAAATAAGTATACTGTTTAATATATAAATGGAACACCTCAAATATAAGTATCCACTAATAATATTTACTGATATATACAGTCCCCTCCAAAAGTATTGGAAAGCCAATTCCTTTTTGTTTGTTTTGTGTTTTTTGTTTTGTGTTTTTTGTTTGTTTTTAGTTTTGTGCTTTTTTGTTTTGGTTGTGTTGTGTTTGTTTTTCATTATTCAAACATATATAGTCAAATATAACAGACAATGAATGTATATTATGTTTGATCAGGAGCCATTCTAAACTTCATATGGTTGCTTTGATTTTGGGTGAAAATATAAACAAAAATTGTTCAGCATTTGGATATTTTCTTTATTAGATGAAGATGGCTCATGTGAGCTGAAAGCTTAGATCAAGAAACAGCTTAATAAAAAAAAAAAAAAAAAAAACAATATCCAAATGTTGGACAATTTTTCATCTTTATTTTCACCTGAAATTAAAGGAACCATCCAAAGTTTAGAATAGCTCATGATCAAACATAATAGACATTCTTCTTCTGTTATATTTGACTATATATGTTTAAAAATAAATATGGGGTCTGGTTCCTAACACCAAAACAAGGACAAAAGTCTGTCAACATATGTCTGCAAATCCTTTGTTTTGAGTTAAGTTTAAACTTTGGAAGTGAGTTCCTGACACTAAAGGTAAAATTTCCATATCAACATATGTCTAAAAGGCCATTGATGTACCTCAACACAGCAACTCACGACAAATGTTCAATGTCTTCTGCTTGCTTCTCTTCACACATGCACCAATCGGATCATTGACTGGTGAACCTTCTCAAATTCCCCCACATGGTGTTGAATGGTTTTGCAGGCCCCCATGATAGGTTGAAAGTGTCTCTGTATTATTAATGTCTGCTGCATGAACCAATTGTTTTAGGTGGCCCTACAGATAAAAATCCAAAGAATTGAGGTAGAAGGAACATGCAAACCATAGAACCTGTCCTCTCCTACCTCATCTTTCATGGTAAGATGAAAGCCTGTGCATTGCAATGTGACTGAAATGTGCTGGACCTCCTTTATGCATGAACAATGTGCATCTTTGTATCAGCAGGGGTACATCCTCTAGCACAGGTCTGGAAGTGTGTTTTAAATAAAGTCCCTGTAGACAGATTCTGTAAGACATGCTGGGAGAACATATGAACCTACCAGAAAGTCATCTACAATTCCAGCCCACACATTAACCATAAAGTGATAGTTGCATTGCACAATGGGGATTCTGATCCAATCACAAATATTGGTTGTGTAAATTTGTTATTCCATCTCTTCCAAATGTTACCTCATCTGTAAACAAAACTGAAGACACAAACAATGGATCAGCAGTCTGTGCAATAAACCATCAGCCAAAGTTTTCCTGTGGTAAGTGATCAGAGGGTGAAAGATCCTGCAGGCGTAAATGATACAAATAGAAGAGCTGCTCTTGAATTATCCTCCATGCGATAATATATGAGATATACAAGATGCTAGGACTCACTACTACACACATTAAACGTTGAAGACGGACTAGCCATGGATGTACATAAATGACAAATGTAAGCTAGTGTACATGGCAACATAGCATCATCTACCGTAAACTTTAAACTTGATAACTCCAACAGGAAGGATTTACGGACATATGGTTATATGGACTTTTGTCTTTGTTTTGGTGTGAGAAACACATACACCCTGTATGTAGATATGTGTATAATATATATATATAATGTAATGTAATAAGAAAATTTTTAAAAATTCAATAAGAATAACATTTACACTCTCTCATTTTTCAGGCATTCATTTATTAGTTCGCTTATCCTCTATAGTTTACCTTGACTTTCACAGACTTAAGAACATTTTAATGTTTGATTTTGAGCATTACTTCATTTTTATATATATATATATATATATATATATATATATATATAGTAGTGTGAAGTGTTAAATAATTCATAGATATATTCAGAAATATAAAACTAAATAGTATCTGTGCCAATTTTGTCACAATCTGAAATAAAAAGCTAAATGTCAAAATAGTCATTGAAAATAGTAATTATTTTTTTCAATACATTTTCTATTTATTTCATCACACATGAACCCAACTTCCAAAAACCACCCAATGTAAGTATAAATAATATTTTCCCTTAAGCTACACAACTACCTTTGAAAAATAAACAGTGTTCTTTGAGATGCCACCTTCTGTCTGGGGTAAAATCCAGAAAAGGATTTCTTTAAGCTAGGAAGTATATTAATGAATGACATTGAGCAAAAAAAAAAAAAAAAAAAAATCAATAATTATTATTATTATTATTATTATGATGATGATGATTATTTCCCTCCTTGTGTTTTCCTACCAGTTGTTATGGTAACTGTTGGGTTAGCCAAGTGACTAAGTGACAGCAAGTCTCCTCAATACATCCTTCTCAGTATTTTAGCTGTTTTCAATAATACCATTGTCTGGATGGTTCCAATTCTTCTTCCCTTAATTTCTAGTTCCTTCAGCCTTTTTGCCTGGTTCTTTGGAGTTCTACACATTCCTCACATAATGACTGCCAATATTCCATAACATTTTCGATTAACAAGCAATATTAAGATACTTAACCGTTTTTTTTTTTTTTTTTTTTTTTAGATTCTGTTCTGTTGCCTGTCAGGACAGAGAAATCTACTTTCTGGCAAATTCTATTCTATTGTCGACTACCAGACCCTGTCCTCTGTCCCAGATTGAATCCCAAAATGCCTCAGTATTTTGTTCTTTTCTTTTTGTTCTCTCTGACAGATTCTGGTTTGTACATATGCCAATGATCTCTGTGGTTAAAATGTTGTTAGTTGCATCATTCCCAATGGATAACTTCTCCTACCCAGTCATGCCTATTCTTGTATCCATTTAGGACCAATTTACTGCATTTGGTATGTTGAATAAGTGAGCATTTTCATGTGAAATTGACAATTTGCAATAACACCAATAATTAAATGAACAGGTCAAAATAATACACAATGCAAGGCAAAGTAAAGCAATTATAAGCCAGAAAAAAAAAAGAAACAATGTTTATATGCAAACCGGATGCAGTCAGATGGTGGTAGCAATCAAACCAGAGAGCTGAAAATTGATTTTTTTTTTTTTTTTTTTTTTTTTTTTTGCTGCAGGTTAAAGCCAGAAAATATTTTTGGATTGTAACAATTATTTTTTGGAAATAATGATTTTCTAATACAATGCTACTATTTAACCCATAATTGTGGGGAAAGGGTGGATTCATAGCTTTCCCAAGGGCATGTGCTCATAAATGAAAATAACAAACCCAAATGGAATTCGAACTTAGCTCACTCATTTCCCATTCTGAGCTGTTATCCATTACACCTTTAGCAAATCTCAGCTTACAGTACCTAGTATTTACAAGAGGTCACCCATCTAGGTACTGACCAAGCTTGATGTTGCTTAACTTGAATGATCTGATGAGAATCAATGTTTCAACATGATATGGCCATAAACAGTTGAAAAATATCTAGTTTTATCAGTAATAGAGGTTTACTTTTTTCTCTTTTGAAAACAACATATCATCCTCAGGAAAAGTGAGGAATTTATATACTTGTAAAATCTGTTACACATGGACAAAATTAAATTTTATTAATCATTAATATAATGTCAAATAATAAGTTAGGAATTTCTCTTTAAACTGAATGTGTGTTAGGTTAATCACTTGCTAAATTGGGAAGTGTGATGTCAATGTTGTCAAGGTGTTTCTGGAGGGTGGTCTCTCTGTTGCTAAGGGTTATCTGGGGGGTAATTTCCCTGTTGCTAAGGTGTTTCTGACAAATGGTTTCCCTGTTAAGGGGTGAATGTCTGGTGGTGTAAGGGATAGCAGCTTGGAATGGGAAATTGGAGTGCCAAGTTCAAGTTCATTACATTCACTTATACATAAATACACTTGGGAAAGATATTAATCTATCTTCTCCCCAGTTCTGGGTTAAATAATAGAATGTGTATCTGGAAAAATTTTTATTATTTTCAAAAAATTCTTAATCTAGTATTCACTCACAAAAAAATATTTTACAATACAAAATATGTTTTGCTTAACCCACAAAGAGTTGATAAGCCATAAAAATGAAATCAATCAATCACTCTTATTAAAATGTCTTTGGAGGGTAACTTCACTGTTGTTAAATTGTGGGAGGGTGGTTTCAATATTGTCTTTGGTGATTGACATCCATGTTGTTAAACTGTGTGTGGTACTGGTGTCAATGTTGATTGTAAAATTGGTTTTCTCTCAACATTAAATTCAATTTCCTCTTTAAGATTTAAATATGGATAAAAAAAAAAAAAAACTTAGCACAAACCATAAAAATATCGAATTAGTAAGATTTGGGATAGGTTAGATGAGAGAGAGAGAAACACAGTCAAAAAAAGAGAGAGAGAGAGAGACGGGAATCAAAAGATCAAAGATAGAATGAGAGAGAGTGAGCAAAACAGAAATAAAGATATAGTGAGAAAATGTTTTATTGAATCAAAATACTTCATCAGACCGACATGGTTCTGTAAACTAGAACAAAGGCAAAAAGTTTATCATTTTTTTTTCTTGATTTAGTATGAATATTTATTTATCTTTTTACTATAATTTGGCCCAAGGCCACAAAATTTAGAGCATCCTGTAAGGATTGACTTCACAAAGAATAGCAAGATGACTCGTTTGTTATCTATCATTTTGCACACTATCTCAACAACAGATATTTACTAAACTTGGATTCATTTGCCACAAGGCTGCAATAGTGAAGTATTCACTAAGAAATGATTTCAATACACAGTAAAATACATAGCCTGACAAACAAGCTTCTTATCCATTGCTGTTATGCTAGGAGCCAGTGTTTAACTTAAGCAAAGATTTACAAAAGAACTTTGATTTGTTCAATTGCCATTTTTGTAGTTTTTCTTTGGAAAACGGAAAAAAAATGACATTTACGCTTCAAATTTTGTAATTCTATTAATATTATGAGGTTTAATCCCATTTTCTTCAAAACATTAAAATTAATGTTGCATAAAATTTCTTTTTTAATTCGCCTTCTGAATCTTAGATAATTAGTATCCATGCCTACTAATATTTCAATATAAAGTCATGTCCTCTTCCAAACATACAAGGAAACATTTTTAAGTTCAGTCAAGTCTGGCACAAGGTCAACATGAGAAACAAAGTAGGTAAATGATTGTGTTGTGCAAAACTTTGAAATATGAAAAATCATCATTCAAAATTAATGTTCTCAAGTGCTGATTACTAGTACCATTAAAAAATATCACAACTACTTCAACCACTAGACAGGCCAAAATAGTTTCCATTTGAAATCTCAAATCATAATGGGTTTAAATGAAAAGACATTCAGTCATCCTTGAATATTCAGTTATGAAGAGACTTCATGCCAATCTTCTAGGTTTTATGGTTTCATTCTTTCAAACACCTTCATCAGGAAGCAACAAATTGTCATAAGGAATCTTGCTTTTATATCCTTTGTCCCCTTAGGACTTGGGTGATCATCATTAACTACATCTTCTTATCCTTTTTAGCTCTTAGCAATATTTGTCTTTAATGTCAATATTTTTATGACCAGGATAAGATTTTTCTCTATTTATAAACAGTTTCCTACCATCCATACAGGAAGCCATCTTCAAAGAGTTGCAAAATTTAAATTGTTTAGCAAAGGTTTGTCAAGTAAAAAAAAAAAAAAAATCAGATTTTAAATTTTCTAGATATTTTTAACTTTAATCATCGTGATATAACTAACATATTTTTAAAAGCCTAAAAACAATATATTCATAAATGTTCACCCATTCAAGTAATAACCAAGCTGTACATTGCTTAACCTGAGGTTTCCACTTGTAACAATCCTTTTCAGCTCTTTTTTTTTTTTTTTTCAACCTCAAAGAACTGATACAGAAAGAAAAAAAAAATGAGCTCTAAGAAATCAATTTTTTTAATAAGTCCTTTTACAAGAATTTCTTTCAAGAATTTTCTCTTTAATGTTCTGCTTGGTCATAACAATAAGTCTCATTAAGGTTGCTATGACAACCTGTTACCCAGGATCTCCCTTATTCTAATCCATACCCCACTCCTCACCATTGTTGCTACCATCTCCAAAACAGCAGGATAGCTATAGATAAGCCATATATGGCAATGTCACATATCCTAGTTCTGGTTCAATGAAAGCCAAGCAAGCTGAAGACTGATGCTTGAAGGAATGGATTTGTGTGTGTGTGTGTGTGTGTGTGTGTGTGTGTGAATATTTCAAACATACAAGATGATATGGTCATTTGAATAAACATTTTTTTCTTTTTCAGTAGCTTTTCTTTTAACCCTTTGAAAGACTGTCACAGCACACTGACTCCTCAATACTTCATTTGTGCACTTGCAAAATCACAAAGAACTAAATTCCATATCTGTCTCTGTTGAGCCCCCCACTTAAATGAACTAATATCTCGAGCCATTCATAGTAAATTTCATCAGCATTTACTCAGTAACAATAGGTAGGTTCCCATTTTACATTGCTTCTTTTTCTATGAGCCATATCCTGACAGGACGTGGCTCCCACAACGTCCTGTCCTTTGTAGCATTTAGTAAATTTCATCTTTTTGCTATCTCTCCTAATCCCTGTTCTGCCAACCATTTACACAAGTTCATTATATAGGCTATGCACTACTTTCTTCTGTCCCATATGTCAGCAATATGTCCTGTGAGTATTGAATTTTCCAAGCCTTCTTTCCTCATATGTCCTAGAAACTGTCTCTCTCTTGATTTGAAGTATGTGTCCTCTTTTTAGAAGAGATCTTCATACCCTAATTTATATACTTTGCATTTAAGGGTGAAGTTTTTTGCTGCAATGTCAAAGATTTTTTTTTTTTTTTTTTTTTTTAAAAGACAACAGAAAAATGTGCATATATCATGAAAACTTCAATTTCTATTGGCTAAAAAACTATAGATTTTATTTTTTCTATAAATAAAACAGCAAAACATACTTCTTGTGGAACAAATGAACCTGGCAAAAAAACAGTTTTCTTTATTTTAAGAGTTTCAATTTCTTATTATTCCTCCTCTATTGAACATATTTTAGACCCACTTAAGAATGATAAACATGAGAATTTCTTTTATAAAAAAATGTAACTGACCATATAGACTACGAAAATGTAAACAATGTCAAAGTTATACTCATCAATCCAAAGATATAGAATTTAACCATTTCTGAGGTCAGGTGGGCAGCATAAAAGTGGCACTACTGTACAGAGCTGCTACTTTATTGATCCAAGTAAACTAAATTGTCAAAATATTGTTCATGCAAAATGTGACGACATTTTGATTTTTGATTTGAACCTTCTGACAGACAAAATAAATAAAAGACAGAAAAGTTAGTGTAATTCCATATTTTCTTAGAGGAACGCTGGTGGTTATTCAGGGAAATAAGATTTTCTTTCAGACAAATTGAAATTTATTCAATATCTTTCATATATTGGCTGATCTCTTTCTCTTTCTGGCCTTTCTTGAAGTCTAGATGGGTGTGTGTTACATGGAGATGTGAATGTGTGTGTATTTCATATATATGATGTGCACACATACATACTGTATTGTGTGTCTTCCAAGAAAAATATAAAGCAATGCCCAGGCTCAAGTAAGCTCAGACGGTCACCTAATTGGCTTGATTGATAAGGACATGGATTTGTATGTTGAGTTATTACACTATGTTAGCTGTTTATCTAATTCGGCCTTTTATATGATGTAACCTCAGTACTTAGCTGTATTTCTAAGACTCTAACCCTTCCTGGAGCCAAGCCAAAAGCTTAAACATGCTCTGTTTACTAGCAACGGTTGGAGCCTTTCTGCTCTTGACTAGTATGTCATTGTCATACAAATAAAATCAGATGAGTGATTAATGTAAACAATACATGGCGACTGTGTTATTGTTTGAGAATTTTTTTTTTTTTCTTAGAAATTTCTAGAAAATATGGTATATATACAAGTCATGTGAGGTAAAGCATTAGTTAGTAAGCCAGTTTTTAAAGCAATTACTAATATGTTCTATCCTCATTGGATGTTGACTATTATGACCTTGTGTCAGATTTAGGCAAAGTTAAGAAAATATCAATGTTTATCTCTGCTTCTAATCATTTGAATCGATCTCTTTGCTTAAGACTTAAAGGAATTTGTCAATTCATGTGCTCAAAGAAATGGATCAGTTATCAAGGCATTTCTTCTCCTTCCAACTGACAAATACAGTGTCACTGCTTGGAATTTAACTACTGTATCTGTCTCGGTCTCTCTGCATCTATCTTAGGCTTATAAAATCTAAAAGCTATTAATAACTAATTATATCAGTCTGTTTATATTAATATATATATATCTGATCATTTCATTTTAAGTGTCTGTCTGGGAGGGCTGGGTCTTGGTGGATGAGACACTGGTGAGTGAAACCCCAGTGTCAGTATTTGAATGTTTCCATCCAGGTCATTTTAA